GTTTTTGTTAAATGTGGGCCAAAATCATCACAATTAAAAGACCCAACGGCTTAAACTACTTCAGTCTGTGTGTACTGAATTTATATAATACATGAGTTTCACTATTTGAGTTGAATTACTGAAATAAATTGACTTTTCCACAATATTCTAATTTATTGAGCTGCACCTGTGTATATATAACTGTTATGACTATCATTAATGTTATGTTGCTACTTTTATTATTCCATTAGAGTGAATTTTTTCTTCTTTTTTTTCACTGTTGCAGCTGTTGTTTTATGTACAAACAGTACAATGCAGGAATGTCTTGAGTCTTTAAAATACAATGTTTAATTTCTGAACTTTGGATGAGTGTTCACTATGTTCCCTGCTCAGGCTGGGCGGGTGGGTAAGAACCAATGAGGAGAGAAAAATATAGGATAAGTTGGAGGGACATGAGACATGTGTTTGGCCAGTGCTGTCTCCTCCTACCCAGGCTTCTTGCACAGCCAGTTTGTTAATTTCTATCTATAAGGGCTGATAGGTAGCTTAAAAAAGACTGTTGACTGTATCAACACTGGAAATGATTCTGCTATTGTGTTGTTGAGTAACATTAGGAAAGAGGTAAGACTTTCATCTACAGACCTAAAATTCAAGGTAGATGCAAACTTCATAATAAAAGGATTGCTGTCAACATTTTGCCATATTGCACTTCATCAAACTGCGTGTTTGTAGAATTTCATCATGCAAGTGTGATATTTATTTTTTCCTCTATCTCTCACACCCATGTGTAATGTTGACTGTAGCTATTTAAGCTTTCTAGATTCATGTGAAAAGTGTTGTTGATATTTACCTTTTTAATCTGACATGTATTTTGTCACAGGACTGGCGGACGGAGACGCAGCAGAAGCCCTGACAGGAGGCGCCGTTGAGTTTGAAAGTTATCAGCCAGATGAGGTGTCTGTCACCTGACAGGCAGTCTGTTATAATGTTCTGTGATCAGTTACTGTAAAAACATGTACATCTATGTTAGATTGTTATTCATTATGCATTTGTTAGTTGAAACATCTTATAAGTTGTTTATAGGTGCATTAATTCATCAACTCATTAACTACTACAAAGTGTGTAGTAATTCAGTTAACATATGCCACATTCATTCAACATTAAACAACATTTTTTCTTTAAAATATTGATGAGCTAGACCAATGCAAGTGATTTAATTGAATCACTGTGAGTGTGATATTAATGATACTATTTTTTATGTCAATACTTGAAACTCTGTTAATGAGATTTCATATGTACTTATTTTCCTGTAGACTTACATATTTGTCTGGTCCAATAGGGGCTTTGTGCTATGCTGAACTGGGCACCAGTTTAAAAACGCAGGGGGCCCTTACCCGTATCGACTAGAGACACTGGGGCCACTGCCTGCCTTCTTACGACTCTGGGTGACTTTCTTATTTGCCAGGTTAGATTGGTGTTGGGCACCATAAAAAAAAAAAATGACTGTCAATCATATCACAGAACACAACAAACATATTTTCCATCTACAGGCCGGCTTCAGCTTCTTATGTATCACTGGCTTTTGGCCGCTATGTGGTGGAGCCGTTCTTTGCACCTTGTCCTGCTCCCACAGTACTAATCAGGCTGGTCAGCATCCTCACTGTCAGTGAGTGGTTTTGTACCTTACACTCCCATTATATTACTGTAAAGGTAGTGTAAAATATAGATCCATATGTTTTTCTTTTACCAGCTGCTTGTCTTTGTGTCTC